AAAAAAAAAAAAAAAAAAAAAAAAAAAAAAAAAAAAAAAAAAAAAAAAAAAAAAAAAAAAAAAAAAAATCTTCGACCTTTTTTTTACATCGATTCAAATTCTTTAACAAGTTCAAAAATATCGTTACCGTATTGTGTGTTAAAAAATACCAATGAAATTCTAAAAGTACACTAACACTCTTAATTTCTATAATAATAATAATTTTTTTAAAAAAATCAATATATGAACGAAAAACCATCTATCGACCATCATTATCTTTAAATTTTTTAATATTATTTTTTAAAATTGATAAATATTTTTAAAGTTTTTAAAAAAATTGGAAACTTTAAAAAATTAAAAATATTTTAAAAAACTTTAAGATAATATTTTTATTCAAATGCAAAAATTTAAAGTTATTTTTATTAATTTAATTTATTAATTCAGCCCAAAATAAAAATAAAGTTTGAAGAGGGTATATTGGTCAATTCAGTTTAGAGGGGAGCCCTAGATTGCTGATAGACAGTATATAAAGCCCTTCTCCACTCTCAGCCAAAGATCTCCCCTGGTTTTCTCGTGCCTTTTCTGCCGCCGGGAATTCTACGAACTCCTTGCTTCTATCTACATTCGCCATGGTAATTCCAGTTTCTTCTCTGCTCTAATTTCCCTCTTGTTCTTCTGTCTACGGTTCTTGAATTCCCTTGATTATTCGTTAGGGTTTTATACTCTTCTCCGAATAATTGATTGTATTGATTTGGCCTTTTTATTTTGTTGCTTTTGTATCTAGTCGCTGGTTGCAAACGAGGATTTTCAGCACATTCTGCGTGTGCTGAACACCAACGTGGATGGGAAGCAGAAGATTATGTTTGCTCTCACTTCAATCAAAGGTATTGGAAGGCGTCTTGCTAACATGGTCTGCAAGAAGGCTGATGTTGACATGAACAAGAGGTATTCGATGCTTTTCCTCTCCCCATTTTCCCTTTTTTGCCGCTTGTCGTCTATCTAGTTTGATGGAAAAATTCGACAATTTGGAGTATTATAAGGATTTCGTTCGTATTTTTAAAATTCTGCATGCTATGAATTTAAGGTGTCAGTTCCTAATATTTTGTAAAGAAATTTAAGCTTTAAGTTTTACATAAAAAAAAACTCAAAGGTGTGAGATATTCGGGAAAAAAGTGGGAGTTCAACATGGGTAATATTTAGGGTTAAATCGTTGAATGATTTGGCATATTTAATGGAGCTTTTCGTCGTCAAAAGAATAATTCTGCTGTGAACTTGTTTTCTGCAGTATATTCTAACATTATCTTTGGGTCAATTACTGTACGATTTAGGATTTTTCTAGTAGTTCGTTCATGTCTGCAGCTGGATTCTGAAAGTAGTATTTTAGTTATTGTGGGAAGAACAAGAAAAAATACAATGAAAACAGAAGGTTGAGTACAGGATCTTGAATCCTTGAGTCTTCCACAGAAAAAACTTCTGCCAGAATTAGGATGTCAAAATACTAGTGAACTTTTTGAGTCTTCTGGTTGACGGATAAAAGGATTACCATTCTGATCTGAGTTATATAAAAGGATGAAAAAAGAAAAGAAATATGTACTGCAACTAGATTCTTAGGTGCTGGAATTATCTTCTGCAGCTTCTTTCTGCCTTTGATAATTTAATGCCATATATTTACCATGCTTACCTGGGTCTGATAAGAGAGCAATGCACGCACAGATGGCTGCTATTCTCTTTTGATGTGTAGCTTTCATCAGAGTAAAGCTGTATCTTCTAATAATAAAACTGGCAGCAACCCGAATACCAACTCACCAACTCCACGGTGAATGACCATAGGTACTAAGCACCTAAATACAGCATGACCTTATAGCTTAATCTAAATATTGTCCCAAAGATTATAGCCAACTAACAGTATAAACCGAGTGCCTTTATTTCACTGAATGAAATGTGGACAAAATCTTAGTGACGACTTCAAGTTAATTGCCAATAATCAGGACATGACTGAATTCAAACACAGTTCTTCCTCTGTGACATCGACTGAAATATTATGGAGAGAATGCAAATTTCATCATATGCCATAGAGGGTGTTACAATTTAGAGTTCGGGGAAAAACTCAAGTGGCTTGTCTGATATACATCTTTGTTTTCATTTGTTATTTTTGCTAACAGGGCTGGTGAACTAACTGCTGCTGAGTTGGACAATCTCATGGTGGTGGTTGCCAATCCACGACAATTTAAAATTCCTGACTGGTTTTTGAATCGGCAGAAGGACTACAAGGATGGGAAATACTCTCAAGTAGTTTCAAATGCATTGGATATGAAGTTGAGAGATGATTTGGAGCGGTTGAAGAAGATCAGGTAACATCTGTTTTTGTTGTTATATCAACATGCACAGTTCTTTAATTTAACATAAATAAGATAAATGAGGGCAGAACATATCTCTGCAAACCATTATCAGAACTCGATTCAAAACAATTATAAAGTTTTGATCTACTAAGCAGCTATTAGGTACAATGTTAAAGAAATGCCCCAATAATCCCCTCAAGTACAATAAAATTCTGATAAAGATCTGTTTCGGAAATTTATAGTCCTCATGAAGCCCTATACTCACTCCATGCACTGTGTTGATTCTGGACAATATTCTTAGAAGTGTTTCATCCTGGGACATCAAGCCCTACTCCTTGCATCATGTACATTTGTAGTTCACGATTAATCTTTGGTACGTCGAATGCAGAAACCACCGAGGTCTAAGGCACTATTGGGGCCTCCGAGTCCGTGGTCAGCACACTAAGACCACTGGTCGCCGAGGTAAAACTGTTGGTGTCTCCAAGAAGCGTTGAGCGTATCCATGTTTTTATGATCGAGTTAAGTATGTGGTTGTTGGGCAAATCAAGTTCTTTGGCCTTTTAGTTGAACATTTGAGCTGTTGTACTTTTTGGAATTTTTATTTGGGATATGGTATTTTTGTTCAATTTTACCCCCTTTTTCTTCTGTCTTTTAGGCTAGACAATGAAGGTTAATAGTGGCAAATGGCGAAACTTTTTTATTTATAGAATTCTTGTTTGTTACCATCAAATTTTGCTTGAAATCAGTGTGCATTTTAATTGGCTTGAGAAAGTTTTTTTTTTCTTTAAAAAAATATACAGGATTATTGTGCATTAAATTTTTGGTATCATTTACTATGGTTAGTTTTAAAGTTTTAAAGTTTTAATCAAATCTAGTCTTTTCTAACAATTTCAACATGTCAAAGTGCATATAACTTAAAAGATTGGGGGAAACAAATCTAATACCTCTTAAATCATTTGAGTTAGAGTTCAAATTTGAATTTTAGATAAAAATTGTATGAGATACGTGACAACATAGAGTTCTCAATGGTCATTGAGTTGATGTGGTAACAGAGTTGATGTGGTTAAAATATGAGCGAACACCAAATCCTTCTAGAGCCCAAACCTCCATTTCTCCCACCCGTTGTCCGCCTTGCTTGGCCCTTCCTCTAAGGGGTTGTTGTGTAACAAGTGCATAATGTCCACTGGAACGTCCGTGACTGAAAATCCACATTTTTTTTTTCAATAGAAAAAGAAAGTATAGTTTTTCGGTTTTTAGTTTTCATGACATTAAATTACACTATTGATATTGGTGAAACCTCATATTAGTCGAAGAAAACAGATGTTAGCAAAGTGAATCTTGAAGGAGAGGGATTGTGAGATCTCACATTAGTTGGAAGGGAACAAAGCATGTTAGCAAAGTGAATCTTGAAGGAGAGGGATTGTGAGATCTCACATTAGTTGGAAGGGAACAAAGCATATAAGGGTGATTGTGAGATCTCACATTAGTTGGAAGGGAACAAAGCATATAAGGGTGTGAAAACATCTTCCAAAAAACCCCAAAAACTCTCTGTCAAACATGTTTTAAAAAAGACTATTTGTGAGCGGGGACGCTCACTATTATTTTTTTATTCTATGCAGCACTAAGAGCTTCTCCAGCTCGCTTACTCGTGTATATATATACATATTCGTTGAAGATTTTTGTAGGATAGTCAAGCGGCAATTTAGATAGCAAACAATCTTGTGCACATAAAAAAAAAAATAGATCTTCATTTTATATCTAAGTTTAACGGTAGCAAAGTGGGAAAGTAAACTATATCCCTTTTGGCCATCGATGGTAGTTGCAACCTAAGCCCACTACTAGCAGATATTATCCTCTTTGAGTTTTCTCTTTATCCCACATCGGTTTAGGAGGAGAACGAAACATTTTTTTTTATAAGGGTATCGAAACCTCTCTAGCAGACACATTTTAAATACTTTGAAAGGAAGTCCAAAAAGAAAAGTCTAAAAAAGATAGTATCTGTTAGCGGTGAGCTTGAGCTTTTACAAATGGTATCAAAACCAAACATCAAGCGATGTGCCAGTAAAGAGGGCAGTTGAGCCCTGAAGGAGGTGGGGGACATGAGGCGGTGTGCCAGCTAGGACGCTAGGCCCTAAAGGGGGTAGATTGTGAGATCCCACATTAGTTGGGGAGGAGAACAAAACATTTTTTACAAAGATGTAGAAACCTCTCCCTAGTAGACGTGTTTTAAAAACCTCAAGGAGAAGCCCGAAAGAAAAAGCCGAAACAGGAATGCACCCATAAATAATACCTGGAATGAAACAACAGGGAGGTAGGAACTTTTCTACGTCCAGGAGAAAATAATTGAACACACAATAAGGCCTTATAAAATGTCTTAACTGTCTCACTATGCACAAACATCTTGGTGAGAGGATATGTAAACAGGACCAAACAAGGAATTATTGGATAAAAATAATCTATGGTATCAGATAAGAAACATAGCGTAAATCGTCTCCGCAAACTCGTATACTTCAACATCGTTACAATAACGAACAACCTAAGCTTATACCGACGTCATAGGGGAATAGAGCAGCCTAATTCCTCGGCAGCAGCTTGAAGAGACTGAGTTGATAGTCCAGTTGCAAGTTGATTATGAACTTCCCATCCCAAGCACTTCTCAATATCTGTTTTCCAGTCAATGAAACCTGAACTGAAATACTGATAAGAGGGATAAATGCCATTTATGTTTCCCGATTTTGAACTAGAATTTATCGAGCTGGTGTGCAGAATATCCCGAAGAACCGATGTGCTTAAGGCTCGGACGTGCGCACTTGGATGAGATAGGCATCGAACAGTAGCTGGTAGACGACACTACGAACACAAACAACATACATTGGCAAAAGGTACTTTCACAGACATTGGGAAAAATAAGAGATCATGTTTGCTTCTTTTCAGAGCATCACAATTTTTTTTGATATTCAGCAGAGGCCGGAGTAGCTTGTACACTAATCTCACAGAGAGTAGCTTTGCCCAGCCTTACTAATTTTGATTACTAAAGAAATTCAGGTAAGATCCCCCGTCGGTTGGAGAGAAGAATGAAACACCCTTTATAAGGGTGTGGAAACCTCTACCTAGCCGATGCGTTTTAAAAACATTGAGGGAAAGCCCATAAGGAAAAGTTTAGAGGACAATATCTACTCACGGTGGACTTGAGCTGTTACAAATGGTATTAGAGCTAGATACCGGGCGATGTGTCAACAAGGACGCTGAGTCCCGAAGGGAGTGGACATGAGGCGGTATGCCAGCAAGAACTCTGGGCCCCAAATGAGGGTGAATTTGGTAAGAGGTTTCACATCGATTGGAGAAAGGGACGAGTGCCAGCAAGGACACTAGGCCCTGAAGAGGGGATGAATTGCGAGATCCCACTTCGGTTGGGGAGGAGAACGAAACACCCTTTATAAGAGTGTAGAAACCTCTCCCTAGCAAACGCGTTTTAAAAACTTTGAGGGAAAGCCCGAAAGGGAAAGCTCAAAGAGGACAATATCTACTAGCGGTGGGCTTGAGCCATTACAAATGGAATCAAAGCCAAACACCGAGCGATATGTCATCAAGGAGGCTGAGTCCTGAAGGGAGAGGACACGTGGCAATGTGCCAGCAAGGACACTGGGCCTCGAAGGGGGTGAATTTGGTGGAGGGTCCCACATCGATTGGAGAAAGGAACGAATGCCAACGAGGATGCTGGACTCTGAAGGGTCGTGGATTGTGAGACCCCACATCGATTAGGAAGGAGAACCAAACACCCATCTTTATAAAAGTGTACATAAACAAATTGCATAACTCGATTACTTTGGACTATGTATATTACCTTTAAGAGATTGGAAAGGCCATCAGCAATTGACAGTCCAGATTCTCCCCACTCCAGTACAGGCTTAACTGCTCTAGCAGTCGCTTCCAATAGCTGTGCTTCCATAAGAAGTAGACAACATTGGCCTATAATTAGTAAGCTTGAAAACAAACAACATTTACATAAACTTAACTGCATTGTTACCTCTAGTTGTGGCAAAGTACAGGCTTCACCATCTACAAGCATGCCATCTGTGGCACGCAACAGTAGATCTAACGCACTCGCCAATACGACCAGCGATTCTGGAGTATCGTGATTTCTCATTAGCTCAACTATGAGTTTGATGATCCGCTGGTTGATTCTCCACATCTTCTGACCTTGATCATCGTCTTTTGCAATCCAAGGTTGCAACTGCCTCTCCGCCTGACAAGCACAGAAGGCCATGAAAATGACTAAACACATGAAGTATATGATCATGAACAATAACACTAGAAGATTAGCAAATGAGTTCTGGAATAAAAAAACTGGTAAAGAAATGTAGACCTGAAGGACAATTGCTGTAGCTGCTTTAGCTGGGGAAGCTGATACCACGTTGCATAATGCATCAACTACCTATTTAATAGAAACAGTGCAATTCAATAGATATTTAACATTCAACAGCTAAGCCCCGTTTGGCATTCCATGTTGAGCCTTCAGGTTTTTGTACTTCAGAGAAGGAGTTGAGCCTCGATTAAGGGGAGGTTGTTCGAGGGCTCCACCGTAGGCCTCAGGGGGAGGCTCTATTGTGTACTTTGTTCAAGGGGAGGATTGTTGGGAGGGAGTCCCACATTGGCTAATTTAGGGAATGATCATGGGTTTATAGGTAAGGAATGCATCTCCATTGGTACGAGGCCTTTTGGGAAAGCCCAAACAAAGCCATGAGAGCTTATGCTCAAAGTGGACAATATTGTACCATTGTGGAGAGTTGTGGTTTCTAACTTCAGAGAAGGAGTTGAGCCTCGATTAAGGGGAGGCTGTTCGAGGGCTCCACCGTAGGCCTCAGGGGGAGGCTCTATAGTGTACTTTGTTCAAGGGGAGGATTGTTGGGAGGGAGTCCCACATTGGCTAATTTAGAGAATGATCATGGGTTTATAAGTAAGGAATGCATCTCCATTGGTATGAGGCCTTTTAGGGAAGCCCAAACAAAGCTATGAGAGCTTATGCTCAAAGTGGACAATATCGTACAATTGTGGAGAGTTGTGGTTCCTAACATGAGAGTTGTATTCTTCGGATATAGAAGATAAAACCAAAGGAGAAGAGCGTTGTACGAACTTACCTGTCTCCATCCTTGCTGCGCTGAAGTGCTCTCCACGCTCGGTTGAGTTTCTGGAGCTGTAATCAACTTATGCCACAGTAGAGAAATAACAGAGAAACATAATTCTTGTTTCTCAGCAAGCACTGATCTTAAGAGAACTTGTGCACAACAGTTGAATCCTATCTGCCTCTCCATTGTGAGTAAGTTGGCTAAATCAGAAGCATCAATCGAGAAGCTTGCTAAACCTTTCCCTAAAGTATTTCCCAACTCTTCATTTGAATTTGATGTTCTCTCGAACACAAGCTTAGTTTCCGAAGGGGTCGAATTGTCACACTTTTGAACAGATTGTCCAGGATGAAAGCAGGTACTGTCTTCACATTGAATTTGTTTTTTTCCGTTTAAACCAACGAGAGATTTCTTCCATTTCGGTACTCGTATTAAATTTGCTTCTAAAGGTTCAGCTTTGTTAACAATGGAAGCAACTGCTTTGCTGTGTATATCTATCAGATTGTACAGTGATGATGCTCTGGTGTAAATCTCGTCGTCCCACTTGCATCGCATCAGGATAGAGAGAGCGTGCATGCAAGCCTTTGATCGTCTAAAGAGTTCTGAAACATGAGCTGCAACCATGGCTGCAGCAACTATCTCGTTTGAACTATAACTCCATGAAGTTCCCACAGAAGATGGCTTTAAAGAAAAAAGTGCTTCTAAGATGGCCAAAATTCGATGCGTGTGGCATACTGCTGAGCTAACGCTATTCTGAAGCTCGGTCGAAGTGCCGTTTACTTTTACCAGTTTTATTACATCCTGTAAATTTGTAGTGTTTAAATGATCACTTCCCCTAGCAGCAAAGGGAAATAACTGGAGCTCACAAGCAAGAGCACAAACAGCAGCCAGGACGTAAGAATCGAACGCAGAAACAGGACCTTGCTTTTTAGTCTTTCTCCTTCTTATTCCTGTATGGTTCTCGGGTACCGCTTGCAAGTCCTCAACCCTTTCATCAATACTTTGTTCACGTCTGAATTTCTTGCTTTCATTGGATTGAGCTTCATGACTAACACAAACAGTCAATACGACAAAAAGTAGGCGTGAAGCGAGCTCCACAGAAGCACATGATTCTAAGAAGAGCGAGTGGACCATGGTTCGAAGCTCTGTGACAGCGAGATTTTTAGAAGCAGAACCAAAGCTGGAAAAGTATCTTGTTTTTCTAGTTTGTTCCTTGGGAGACTCGGACGGAAACGTTCTTTGAAGAACTGATTCGACAGTAGCAACAAATATCTTCATCAGACATGCTTCGGATGGGCTACCTCGTGGAAGATATTCAAGAACCTTAAGGAGAGGAATGTATAAATTCCATGATAATATGGGAGGTTGCAATGGTGTTGCAACTATGATTTCAGGGAGGTCAACTACATCGGAACTTAACGGAATCAAGCCATAAGCAGCTTCCCAGATGGTACAAATTCTCCATTCAACTTCAGGGCCATGTGCACAAAGCATCGACGCAATTCCTTGAGCAGTAGCTTCAGTTGTAGCTTCCGCTGCAGGCACTTCGATCTGATACAAGTATACAGATGATATTTGGAGTTGTTAGAGTCGAAAACAAGACGACATTCGAAGACCGTAATTCATTAGTTCTATCAAGAAGCTAGAAGCATAGCTTATACAGAGAGTATCATGTGCTATAAAGTCCATACCTGTTCCCTGTATGATGAATCATAGCCACCCAAAGATTCATATTGAACATCACTTCCCTCAACTTGTCGTAGCGGTGGAAAAAGCAATGCGGGTTGGGACAGTATGCGAAACAGCAAGGCTGCTGCAGCATCAGCAGCAATACCAGCTCTCATGGACATTGCAGTGCCAATGGCACGCAAGAAATGTAAATGCATCCAGTTTCTAGGAAGCTGCATTAATGGGAAAATAAGAATTGATTCTTACCAAGAACAGAATGTAGGGAGATACAGTATAGTCCCATTCCTAGAATAGAAGAAGAAATACCAAATGGTGAAACTTTTAAATGAACTAAACCAAACCAAACCTCAAACCAAATCAGCCCATTTGTAACCAAACCAAACCCAACAAAACCGAACTAGATTTGAAAGGGGACATGACAACCACAAACATCCAAGCAAAAATATTTCAAACCCATGACAACCACGAACAATGCTGAGGCGTCAAACCCGTGCATCAGGAAAGGTGCAATAGTGAGGTATAGATTGAATGTAAGCAATAACTGACAACGAAAGCATGGGGTTGTATCATATCAGTGAGGTATCGATTGACTATGAGAAATATCTGTTTGCTAATGAGTCAATGCAATTACATCATATATTATAGCTATTTAATTGTTAGTTAGGCACCAAAGGAGCATTTGTCTGATCATTCTACTGATATGAACTAATATGAGAAAAATATTGTCAAACTACGAAGAAACGATTGCACAGTACCATAAATTTAAATAAAATTCATGAATGGCGTAACCGACATGCCTTACTGCATAGTATAGTATCCAACTTACCCTAATGCCAGTTGCATACTCTTCAGCAGCTCGAAGAAGCTCTACAAGCTGTACAGCTGCATCGAGTGCATCTGGAGCCCAAGATGGAGGTGCTTCTAAGAGTCCAAGAAGAAGCCTTTGGGTAGCACTGGGAGTAGCAATGGCATAATATCTGTGCTGGGGAGGAAAATTTGAATAAGAAGAACCAGCATAAAGGATTTGAAATTTGTTTCTCTTTGAAGGTTTAGACAAGCTAACCTATGGAATAAGCGTGCATATGGCTCAAGAGCTGGTAGCCCAGCAACTAAATGTTCATCTAAAGCTGTTGTGGGGGGAGGAAGAAGAAGCGCAGGAACAGCAGCTGCTGTTAGAGTTGCCGTCTCATACCGAGAAACTTCTTCATCGCAAACACTCAATATGACTCCAGCACCATTTGCAACGGCCCATCTTGGAGTTGATGGTATAAGCTGAGGGTGTTTTCCAGATCCACGAGAAGAAGCTATAAACAAGAAAGCCTGCTCGGTAATATCCTTGCTTTAAGGATGAAAATGAAACACATCTTCTACTAAACAACATTAACACAGTTAAAAGGCTTATAATTAAAGATTACAAAGGGATACAAAAAGAAACGGTTAAACGGGTGGCCAGATACTTTCCAAAAGATTAAACTTTCCAAAAATTCAATCAGCAAAACAGGAGATATACGAGTGAAAGCTTCGGAAACCACTTGAATAAAATTGAGCCACGAAAGCAGCTGGAACACCTCATCATAAGAGGAAGACAGCATTAGTCAATCCAGGAGAGAAGCATGAATGAACTAGAAACCAGCCAGAAGATCAAACTACGGAAGACTAGAAGAAGCCAATAAATTCCAAATAACCACAGTTAATGCTGAATTCAACCCATCCTTTTGGGAAAAATCAATAAAACCAGAAAAAGAATCTAACGAAACCTTAATCTTTTGGGATTGAAGAATAAATAACTAAAATATGATAAATCTAACTTTCCAAAAGATATTAGGAGAATGACTTTGACCTTCATTTTGAACACTCCCCTCAAGATGAGTTGGATGTATATGAAAAAGAAACCTACTCTTTATTCCGATCTTAAAAATTAGGTCTTGTAAAAAGTTTGGTGGGAATATCTCTGATTTGTTGCTTGGTAGATACATACTTGACTTGACTTTTTCTTAAATAAAATGTCGATCAATTTCAACATGTTTATCCTATCATGATGAACTAAATTCTTTGGAAGGCAGATAGAACATTGAAAATATGTAAGACGAGATTAGTAGCTAAGGGATACACTCAAACTTACCGTATGGATTACCAAGAAGATGAACACGGTAAGAATATTGTTATCCTTGGCTGTCATCTTAAATTGGCAGCTTTCACAGTATGATGTGAAGAATGCGTTCCCTCTAGGATTGGAAAACTCAAAAGGTTGCCGATTGAGAAAGGCCCTATATGGACTAAAAAAATCACCAAGGGCATGGTTTGGAAGATTCAGAAAGGTAATGAAAGACTGTGGGTATAAACAAAGTCAAGGAGATCACACTTTCTTTATCAAGCACTTAGAATCAAGAGGAGTTACAATATTTCTAATGTATGTGGATGACATCATAGTCACTGGACTGGAGATAATGAAGAAGAAAAAATTGAACATAGAAGAAAATTGATGATAGACTCTTGAGATCAAAGAACCTGAAAGGGTAAAGTACTTTTCCAACATTGAAGTAGCATAGTGCATTTTCATATCACAATAGAAATATATGATGTGTTTATGGATGGAAACAGGGAAAAACAGATGTAAACTTGCACTAACACCAATGGATCCACATCAGAACATGGGAGAGTCAAAAGAAGAACCTGAACAGAGAAATGTACTAGAAGCTAGTGGGGAGGCTCATGTATCTATCTCACTAGTAATTAGCTAATTCATGCATGATCTGTGGGAGATTCACCTTAAGGAAACATACAGAATGCTGCATTACCTGAAAGGGACTTTATAAAAAGAATTTTATTCAAACGGAAAATTTCATTACATCGGAAGCTTACACCGATCCTAACCATTCTATATCAATTGTGGATAGAAAATCTACTACGGAGCATTGTACTTTTCATAGAGGTAATTTGTTAACACAGAGGAGTAAAAAGCAAAATATGGTGGCTAGATCATCTTCCAAATCAAAATTTTGAGATATTGCACAAGGGTTATGTGAACTCTTATGATTGAAGATAATCCTTATGAATTGTAGATTAAGAGAGAAAGTCCGATAAAATTGTACTGCGATAACAAATCAACTATAGTATTGTATATGATCTTCTACAACATGATAGGACAAAGCATATTAAAATTGATCGACATTTTATCAAGGAAAAATTAGAGAAGGGGATAGTATGCACTAGTTATGTGCCCTCACAGCTTCAACTAGTAGATATACTAACAAAAAAAAACTTCACAACTCATTTCCTCCCTAATCAATATTGATTTTCCTTTGTTGGACCTTCGACAAATTTTCAAGCCCACAAGCGGGAGAAAGGTGTTAAAATATTGATATAATTAAACTTATGCTAACATCTTAAGCTTTTGGGTTGATGGGTGATCTAACGAACATACTTTTGACAAGCTAGCGAACGAAGATATTTTTAGACCATGTTGAAGAGTTGTTTTATTTTTTGTAAATATTAGCTGCAGATACCTTTTTTAACCGTAATAATTTATTATTCACATTGTTTTTATTCTTCTTCTTCCCCTTTTGTTGTAGCTCTTTCTCTCTTTCTCCTATACAACGGAACTATGTAGAACCATGTAGACATGTACTACTTACATTGGGATCACGATCAGAGCACAAATATTTTATTCCCTCTAAATTAAGACACATTTCGTAAGCGTGTAGCTTATGGTGCTTCCTTCCCGGCCTACTACCTACTATGTATGCCTTTTACGACTTATTTTCAAAACATAGATAAGCTGCAATTCCGTTGCATCAAGTGAAATACCACTTCATAGTTCGACATTTAAGTAAGATGTTCACAAACCTGATGTGGGTGGCCTGAGCTCTCCAGCAGCATATTTACCCATAACACCACTGCACCTGTTTATGTGTAAAAATGTTATTCAATAAGAAACAATTTCATAGATAACATAAATTACAAACGGAAAAGTCAAGCACCTAACCGAAAGGGGATTTCAAAAGGCTCTTTCAACTTCATAAGAGAATCAATACCAAAATTGCTTGAAAGAGAGACAAGTTACACCAAGAAAGCCATAAAGCATGGAGTATTTGTCTTTCTTGCAAAAAAGACAACCCTAGGAACATTGAACTAAATTGTTCGATGTGATCGTCATATTGTGGTTGTCATCTTCTAAATCCTTGAATGTATGGTTAAACCATACTTTTTACGTTCTGTCCTACATCGAACTATATAGAACCACCAACCACATTATTATCCTATCTGCCTCAAATAATTTCTCCTCACCTAGAGCTGAAACACACAAATAGAGTCATGTTTATTATCTCCCAACTAAGGAAAATACAGGTTAGATCTCTTAAGAGAATTGAGAAACTAGAATGAATGGTTCTAAGCCATTTGAGCACCTATAGATGTAAATACAAAACTTGGAGCTAATATTTACAGAACTTCCGGGCAAATCTTCACGGATAAGTAGTTGATTGGGGGAGATATTAGCAACTAGCTGGAAACGCATTTAACTCATACTTGTCCAGATATTAGCTTTGCTATTAGTGTGGCAAGTCAATTTCTGAACAATTTTTCTAGAAGCAGCAAATAGAATATTAAGATATCTCGAGCATGACCAGAGAAAGAGCCTCCAGTTCAAAAGACTACAAACCAAGTCGGGAAGTGTACACTTACACAAATGGGCAAAATCATAAGAGCGCAAATCGACTGCATTACTTGGAGATTTCTTCAGCAAAACTTTTGATGTATTAAGGCTTCCATTAATCATAATCGATAAACGAATGTTTATTCTCTTTGAATTCTAAGACTTCCATATGAAAAAGTTCTTTCTGCATTGGCGATGAAGATCCGAAATGCTGAGATAATGATTTCACTGAAAAAATACCATCAGAATCAAGAGACCATATACATCAACTTCCTCATCCCTAAGAGACCTTCAAAAAGAAACATTTCACGCACCTATTCGAGCATCCCAATGGTCTGAAACCGATCCTTTTGGTGATTAAATAGCAAACCGTCGAGGAAAACATTTTAATGGGGAATTGTTCAGACATACATCTTACCCAGAAAGTATCCTTCTACCATGAAGGAATTGAACTGCTGCCACAGAATATTCATCCATGAGCTTCTAAGACTAGGATCTTTTCGGATTCACAAATTCGAACCAAAAGTAGAAGAGGTATAAATACTAATAATGATCTTTCTCCAAAAAGAATGAGGTTCATTCATAAACCGCCAACCCCATTTGCTAAAAAAGCAGTGTTTCTGTTTTTCAAAGCTCCAATTCCATGTCCACCATCCAACTGAGCCATTGTAACAAGTCTCCATTTAATCAGGTGCTTTATTTTCACACTGATTCGATGAAGGCATTAGAAATAATGACAAATTATATAATGGAATGCTTGATAATATTGAAGAACAAAGAGTTAAGCCCCCACCTCTAGATAATAAGTTTCGTTTCCACCTATCAATCTTCTGAACTTTGTCACTAACCGATTGCCAAAAGGAATCTTTTTTGGGATGTCCACCAAGGGGAAGACCCAAATAAATATTTGGCAGAACTTCAATTTCATAATTCAACCTTGAGGCAAATTGGCATGCCTTTGAGTCTTGATGATTCCATATAGAGCCGATTTCCCCATTTTATGTCCAAACCCGAACACCATTCAAAAAATTCAACAAATTGAATTAAATTGTCGTAACACCCCATCGTCATCCTTGCAAAATAAAAGTGTTGTTTGCAAATTGGAGAACTAAAACTTAATATCGTCTCGGCCAACTTGAAACTCATCATGACTCCCATTGGAGTAAACATTGTCAATTAATGGTTTGAAACCTCTTCACTGACGATTGAAGAAATGATGATAAGGATCATGGTGTTCCAAATGTTCCAACTGGACCTATTACACGATTGAAGGCCAAGAAGATTCAACAAACATTCATTCTTCATCTACAAAATTGGATAAGCTTGGTTTAACCATTATTTCATGTATCACAAGCTGATTCGATTGAGTAAGGACCATTTCGAGCTTCAGAAGTGAATATTTGCATAGTTGAAGTAGTGGATGAAGTTGCTATAAATTGCACTTGATTCATAAGTTGTTAGAAAACTTTATTTATTATTTTTAATTACATAATTTCTTGTTGTGGGAAAAGGGTGGGAGGTTACTTGACAAAGTGACTTGATTGGAAGAGTGCGTGTCCGCCGAATCAATCTCCTAGATATCTCTCTGATCTATCAGGGGGGTGGGAGTAAATTATGGCCACTAACTTATTTAGTGAGCATTTGAATAGTTGAAAGTTTCTTTTGTGAGAGACTATAAATACCTACAAATTACTTTGTAAAAGACAGATTTTTGGATGGATGAAGTTTAGCTCTCAAATTGAGACTTTCACCCTTAGAAATTTGAACACCATTTTTGTCATTTCTAAGTTTCATGCCATTTTTGTAGTAGATTGCATCTAAGTCATTCAATCAAGCCTTGATCAAGTTTGATTGTGGAGTGACTCAATTTAGAACAAGGTTCCAAATCTTAATTCTAGATCTTTGATCTTAAGAAATAATCTAATTCTAGCCTTGTCTCTTGGTTGGTCCGAATTTTGTACAAGGAGATGTTAATTTCATTGATTCAAGGGTTCTTGCTTCAACAAAAGCTTTGATTGTGTTAATTTCTTTGATTCAAGGGTTCTTGCTTCAACAAAAGCTTTGATCGTGTTAATTTCTTTGATTCAAGAGTTCTTTAATACAAGGAATGAAAAACGAACTTGATCAAAGATTCGGATCAACCAAGAGATAAGGCTAGAATTAGATTACTTCTTAAGATCAAAGATCTAGAATCAAGATTTAGAACCTTGTTCTAAATTGAGTTACTCCACAATCGAACTTGATCAAGGCTTGATTGAATGGCTCTGATGCAATCCACAATCGAACTTGATCAAAACTTGATTGAATGGCTCTGATGCAATTTACCACTAGAATTGCATGAAACTTAGAAATGCCAAAAATGATACTCAAATTTATAAGGGTGAAAGTCTCAATTTGAGAGCTAAATTTCATTCATCCAAAAGTCTTATCTTTTACAAAGTAATTTGTGGGTATTTATAGTCTCTCATAAAAGAAACTTTCAACTATTCAAATGCTCACTAAATAAGTTAGTGGCCATAATTTACTCCTACTCCCTTTAAATCTCCACAAAAAAAAAGAAGTCACTTTGACAAGTAACTTCCCACCCTTTTCCCATTCCAAGAAATTATGAAATTAAAAATAATAAATAAAGTTTTCTAACAACTTATCAATCAAGTGCAATTTATAGCAACTTTATCCGCTACTTCAACTATGCAAATATTCACTTCCAAAGCTCCAAATGGTCCTTCCTCAATTGAATTAGCTTGTAACACATGAAATAATGGTTGAATCGAGCCTATCCAATTTTGTAAGTGAAGAATGAATGCTTGTTGAATCTTCTTGGCCTTAGATCATGTAATAGGTCCAGTTGAAACATTTGCAACACCGTGATCCTTATCAAATGACCTTTCTGTAGTATAAAAGACACATATACCTCTCTAAAAATTAATATGAAAACCAAGCAAGATAATTTACACTTGCAACATGGTATCACAACCATTCTCTTTTAGGAGTTTTGATTAATTAACGTAGTCTTCGTAGTTACCAATATTCTACCTTGACTAAATTTATTTAGAGCCTTCATAACTATCGATCTTCCACCTAGACCAAATTTATTCGAATCCTTCATAGCTATTGATCTTCCACCTTGTACAAATTTCATTCGGAGCCTTCATAGCTACCGTCCACCTTTGAAATATGTTCCAGAATTCTATTAGCTTATCACATGAAAAGAGTATTCACACCAGGAAGGCTACAACATTAGCATTAGCATTCCCAGCTTCATTCACTACAAGTGCAACAGCAAGCCAACTATCAATCCATTCATCCATCAACCTAACATACTCGTATATCTTTTCTCATTAGTCAAAATAAAAACTCTACCCCTTTTCATTTGATTCATAGTGATATATGAGAACCCTCATCTATTCTTAGTATTTCTTGTGCTCGTGCTTTATCACATTAATTGATAATTGTACTCGGATTACGTGACTATTCCTTCCCAAACAAAAATAAGATGTATGTAATGTTATTAATGTCTTCCACTCAAGGATTTAGACACAATTTAGAGTCAATCGAAACATTTTGAACGGACAATGCTAGAGAATATTTTAATCAAACCTCACTCTCAAATTTATTTTTGGTCTCAAGTCACTATCCATAATTCTTTGTCTGTGATTACACCACTGCAAAATGGAATGACCGAAAGGGAAAATGGACACCTTTTAAACACAACTCGAGTATTGCTTTTCATAGAAACATGCCAAAAACTTATTGAGAGAGACATTTCTTATTGCAACTCACATGAATCATCTCTATCTCATGTCCTAAATAATTAAGCCCAATAGAAGTTGTCAACCAATTTCATCCTCGCTTTCGAACATCAAATGATCTCACACCCTGCATATTTGCGTGCATTGCCTTTATTCATGTCCACAACATTTAGAGAGGTAAATTTGATCCAAGAGCAATAAAATGTGTCTTTTTAGGATACTCTTCAACCACAAGGGGTACAAACATTACAACCCTACATCTAGGAAGTCTACACTTCAATTGATGTGACATTTACCGAGAATAAACCATTCTTCTCTAAGCTCTCTCTTCAGAGGGAGAACATAGAGATTGAAGAGGGTCCTTGGGAAACTATTGAACCCCTAGACATCTTGTCCAAGGATTAGCCTTAAGTTCAAAGTTATTTGTGTAATTCATGAGTTAGCATCCAAGAATGAATGATATCTATTACTCAGCTTGAGGGAGAGTGTCGAAGAATATTTGTATAATCCAATTAAATAAGGGAAGTAGTTAACCTCCTTAATTTATCTGGTTGGATTCATTTAGATTGACCGTTATCTAGTATCTACGGTGATTATTTAGATTTATTCACCTAGTATCCAAGTCGAGAATAAATGATATCTATTACTCAGCTTGAGGGGGAGTGTTGAAAAATATTTCTGTAATCCCATTAAATAAAGGAAGTGGTTAACCTCCTTAATTTATCTTGTCAGATTCATTTAAATGTATTGTTATCTAGTATCTAGGGTTATTATTTAGATTTAATTGCCTAGAATCCAAGTTATTATTTAGATTTAGTTACCTAGTACCTAGGGATTTATTTAGATTTAATGTTACTAGTATCTAAGATTTAGTTAATCTTTTTCCCTTGTAAAAGAGACATGTAATTATTTGAAAATTAATAAGAAAAAACAGGAAGTTAATTTAGACTTACAACACATACTAAATAACTAGCATACAAAACCAATCATTGAGTCCATGCTTGCTACTGATTCTAAAATGAGTTCACCCCTACTACCCAGAGTTACCAATTGAACCATACATTCTGTTGGAAGTCCCACATCGGCTAATTTAGGGAATGATCATGGGTTTATAATCAAGAAATACTATCTCCATTGGTATGAGGCTTTTTGGGGAAGCCCAAAGCAAAGCCATGAGAGCTTATGCTCAAAGTGGACAATATCATACCATTGTGGAGATCGGTGATTTCTAACTTGGTATTAGAGGTATTAGAGTCATGCCCTAAACTTAGCCATGTCAATAGAATCCTCAAATGTCGAACAAAAGTACCGTGAGCCTCGAAGGCATAGTAAAAAATGACTAAGACTCCAAAAGAAAAAGGAGTCGAGCCTCGATTAAGGGGAGACGTACTTTGTTCGAGGGGAGGTGTTGGAAGTTCCACGTCGGCTAATTTAGGGAATGATCATGGGTTTATAATCAAGGAATACTATCTCCATTGGTATGAGACCTTTTGGGGAAGCCCAAAGCAAACCCATGAGAGCTTATGCTCAAAGTGGACAATATCATACCATTGTGGAGATCGGTGATTCCTAACACGTTCCACCTCCATTGTCGGATTCGTTGTTCTCTCAGGTATAGGCTAGAAGGAAAGTTATCTCAAAGCTATTATAAGTCCAAACATCAGACTCTACTCAAATTGAGGATGTAACACAAACATCAATAGATGATAGACCCATAGCTCTCTGAAAATCCAGTAGAGAATGCACAAAACGACCCTTACACCCCCTATCAAACTATATCTCTCTTGAATGACTATCCCCACCGCAGAGTTTCGTTGTGAGTCTACATTCAATTGCTACATAACACAGTTTCTGAAACTTTATGCAAGAGAGAATGTCAAGATGTTATGAGAGAAGAAATGCATGCTTTAGCAAATAATATGTGGGAAGTTGTGGATAGGCCAAAGAAATAAAGATATAGTTGGGTGTAGGTGTTTTTCATTGTAAGATACAAGGTTGATGGAACATTGGCGAGGCATAGCGCAAGGCTAATGGCGGATACACTCAAACTTATGGGATAGATTATCAAGAGACATTTTCCTCTGTTGCGAAGATGAACACCATAATATAGTTATCCTTGGCTACCAATTTAAATTGACAGCTTTCACGGTATGATGCAAAGAAGGCATTTCTTCACAGCAATCCAGATGAGCATTCCTCTAGGATTTGAAAGCTCAAGAGGTAAAGTATGCAAATTGAGAAAGGCCGTGTATGGACTAAAACAATCATCACAGGTATGGTTTGGAAGATTCACAAAGATAATAAAAAACTGTGGATATAAGCAAAGTCAAGGAGATCACTCTCTTTACTAAGCATTCAGAATCAAGGAGAGTTATAGTGCTTCTAGTGTATGTAGATGGCATCATAGTCACCGGAGATAATGAAGAAGAGAATTGATGAAGAAATTTGAGATCAAAGAACTTGGAAGGCTATAGTACTTCCTCGATATTTAAGTAGCGTACTCAACTCAGGGGTATCTTCATATCACAATAGAAATATGTGATGGATTTATGGATGGAAACAAGAAAAAGTAAATGAAAGCCTACAACAGCGCCAATAGATCCACATCAGAAATTGGAAGCTTACACTAACGCAAACTATGCTGGATCAATATTAGACAGAAGATTTACTAAGGGGTATTGTACTTTTCTTGGAGGTAATTTGGTAACATGGAGAAGCAAAAAGAAAAAATGCAGTGGCTAGATCATCTACGAATCAGAATTCTAAGCTGTTGCATGAGGGTTATGTGAACTCTTATGGTCTAATCCTTGATGACTTACAAATTAAGGCAGAAGATTCAATAAAGTTGTATTGTGATAACAAATCAGCTATCAATATTGCACATAATCCTATCCAACATGATAGGACAAATCACATTGAAATTGATCAAAATTTTATTAAGGAGAAATTAGAGAAGGAAATAGTATGCATTAGGCTTTGTGCCTTCACAACCTTAATTAGCAGATATACTAACAAAATGGCTTCACAATTCAATGTTTCCTGAGTTAGTATCCAAGTTGATATCTATTCCTCATCATGAGTTAGTATCCAAGTTGATATCTATTCCTAATCTTGAGAAGGGAGGTTGAAAAATTAATCTTGATTTAAGGAATATCTGTGTGTTCCTAGTCTTAAATGAGGAGATATTTGTGTAATCTCATTAAATAAAGTTAGTAGTCGACCTCTCTAATTTATTTGTATTATTTGTATTGTTGCATAGTATCTTATAATTTAGTTAGATTTATTATAAAATGCACATCTATCTCTCTAAAAATTAATATAAAAACAAGCAAGATAATTTACTCATGAAACACTGAACACTAACAAGCAGACATAAGAAAGGGGAAAATGGGTCTCCTTGTCTTAATGCACGGTCGACTAAATTCTTCCACGAGGCCGAACATTTATGAATACTGAGAATTTGGGGTTTCAAACACAACCCTCAAGCCACTTAATCCATTTACTGTCAAATGTTTTGGATCGAAGCACCTCATCCAAAAAAATCCAATCAACACAATCAAAGGCCTTTGCAATGTCAAGCTTTCATAACCACCCTCTTTTCTTTTTGTGGCATAGAGTTAAATGAGTGATAATCAGTCTGCTAAAGCTCTCGGAAAAAAAAAAAAAATACATATAACCAAATTAAGGATGTTCCTGCCCAACAGCAAGCTACAAACATATTGACAAAGGCATTGCATCGAACAAACCTACGTGAGGGGAGGGTAGAAAATCACGCTATAAATTAAAGTTTTCATTTTTCCCTTGTGTAGCAAGAATTTCACTTTAATTTTTTAGAGTTAGGCTAACTACTATAATTGTTGATCCTAGAGATCTGAGATCCTCCTAGTATAAAATTCTCTTTTTCACTCAATGAAATGTAACCTAAATTGCTTGCATACTTAGCTTAAAAATCTGTTTATCACAGTCCCACAATCCCCTAGTTATCTTGTATAGAATCACATACATTTGGGTAACCTGCTGAAGGTAGCATACGCAGTTCAAGAACGGAAAGGAAGACTTTGTTCACTATTGTAGGGAGAACAAATAAATGGAAAACATCTAATCCAGGAACAAGGGAGCAGCCACTGAGTTTAAGATGAACATTGACCTTCCCTCATTTCATGGAAAAATGAATTTAGAGGCATTTTTTTTAATTGGATCAAGAATATCAAAAATACTTTTGATCACATGAATACACATGAGAACAAGAAAGCTAAACTAGTAGCACTAAAGTTGAGCGGCAAGAAAGTTAAACTAGTTGCACTAAAGTTTAGAGAGGGGCTTCATCTTGGTGCAATTAGCTTCAAGTTAATTGAAGAAAAGCGGGAAAGAGACCGATGGAAAATTCCAAGAATACTTCGATTAATGAATGATCGGCAAAATTCTACTAACTCTGAACAACTATTACACAAACCAATAATGATGCCAAGCAATGTTGCCAAGTAAATGGTTATGTTGCTAGTCATGTTAAATCACCAATCAACCTAGTATCAATGCAGAAAGTCCAATGATTTCCACTATTCAATTTACCATAAACGATCTCCTTATACTTCCGGGTTCACCAGTGATTTAACAAATTACGTGGAGAAATTCCATTGTTTAAGTACTCATATCAATCTAGCAGAAAATGAGAACAACAAAATTCCAAGATTTGTTGATGGCTATTGGAAGGATATGCAACTTGCAAGACAAATTGGATCTTCAACTCATATGTTCTCTCTCTTATGCCATTACTTTGACAACAAAAATTTAGCAAAGGCTACTGTATCCTTTTGATGTCTTCTGTCCAAGCACTTTTTTGATAAAAAGTATTGTATAATTTGGAAGGATTGAGGTTTTTCTCTATTATTCTCCTATGGAAGTAGCTTCTGAACTTTTTTATTTCAGTATGTATTTTTCATGCAACAATGAACTGTTTCTGTTTCAAAAAGAAATATACATATATATCATTCCAAACAGCACCTAACGCTCAACATAGCAATGCCTTACCAGCGGAAATAGTCGCTTCTGATGCCCAATGGTGCAGCAAGCAATATGTCAGTAATCCATGGGGACAAAGGTCTTATAGGTTTCCTCTCGTGTTGCAGAGGCACTTGAACAAATTCCCCATCATTGGTGTCACGAGTTGTAGCAACGCAGCCACTATTGCTTCTTTCTGTTTCACCATTCTTTTGTTCCGTCTTGTATATTGGCCGATTGTAATGAGTCAAGATCCGGAGTATCTCCCCACATGCAAGGGCCCATTGTTCAGAATAATGGTTCTGATGGGGTAAAAAGTATTCATAATGCATCTTGCCATTATTCATAACTATAGAATATATATCAGAAAATAAAGCTACCTCAAAATAAAACACAAGATGTACAGTGAATTAGTGAAACCGTTGTAGTGGTGTAGTTTTCAGGTTGTGCCTTTTAAAAAAAAATAATAATAAATAAACTTCTTTAAGCTGTTAATTTGGTTAGCTATCATCGATTGTTTTCTTGGTTTTTTATTTTATTATTATTTGGCTGTTTGCTTAGTTTGTTATTTGGTCAGTGTGGCTACCCTCTATATCGGAGCCTTATTTGTTACAAAAAGCAGTTTTTTCTTGATAAAGAAATTTTCCAGCAAGGTGATTGCATCAGTTTTGGTATCAGACTACTTTCTAAGAAAGGACCTAATGGTGGGAAAGACAAATCCCACCTTATCCATTGGTGGAGCAACCCCTGTCCCATCCCACGAACATTGACCAACCGTGCGATGATTCCATGGAAGAAATGAAATGGAATATACATGATATCCACCAGCTTATGAACTTCATGGCACGGCGTTTAGAAATTTTAACATCATCAAAGAAGACGAGAAATCTCTAAACCCAACATATCAAGATCAAACAAAAATTGAAGCGGCCCGCACACTTAACAAAATACCAGTGGAAAAAATGATTACAAGATGAAATAGACTTAACCGCGTTTAATGGAAAGCTTGACCTTGAAACATTTATTGATTGCAACCCATGTATTACTTGATCAATGCCATATCTTTATCCTACATAGTGGAGGTACGGCAAAGAAAAAAAAATTCAAGAATGCTAATCTTGGCAACAAAAGAACCACGTGGGAGAGAGGTAGCTCTTAAATTTTGATTGGTGGTGAAACACAAAGAACCTCAACTGAAGTGAACTCACAAAGCTCTTCCATTATCAAGCCTAAAGATTATCAAAATCAAAAGCTTAACATTATGGGAGGTGACCTTACTGCCAATAAAAGATCAGGGAACATTTACAATCACCTACAACAAGGTAGATTTAGCTAAAGGGCTATGATATTGTCACCATGAACCCAATACTTCGTGACATAAGGTTATTGTGAGTAAATATGGTCTGTCCCCTTTTAAATGAACCCTAAATGGGGACAGTGGCACTTCTAGGTCTCCTTGAAGAGGCATTGTAGGAGAGCTTCTTTTCACGTCACAGTTTTGTTTATTGCTTGGTTGGGATGGGAGGGATACAATTTTTCTGGGAAGACTGGTGATAGGAGATAGTCACCTCTACTTTTGTTTTCCTCATTTATACCATTATCTTCGATGAAAATTTCTCAGTGGCTGACGTTCTAGCTCAGCCAGCCCCCACATTGAGGTTCGGTCGTTTTTTGTCTGAAAGAAATACATGGGTATTGTTTCTCTCTTTTCTTTGTTAGGGTAGTTTATTTTCTCTTTCTGGGATAGGGACTTTTGCTTATAAGAGCCCTCATAAACCCCCGTAGATATGAAACCCCTAGATCACAAATGCTAAAACTCCCAAGCAAGTTAAGTTCATTCCAAATGGTTGGAACTCTTGTGAATTCGATCTAGCAACATTATTGAAGAATATGACATTTAGATCTAAAATATCCAAGAACCTCAAAATGATAAGGAATCATCCCCAAGGGAAAGTAACATATTTCTCAAAGACAAGAAATCTTCTTTGAGATTCGAATCACTCCACAAGCAAAATTAATCATGTCAAGCTTGAATGATTGGTTAGTGGCACTTCCAGGTCTCCTTGGAGAGGCATTCTAGGAGAGCTTCTTTTCATGTCGCAGCTTGTTCATTGCTTGGTTGGAGATGGAGCTTGTTCATTGCTTGGTTGGAGACAGAGCTTGTTCATTGCTTGGATGAAGACTGGTGATGGGGGATAGTCACCTATGCTCTTATTTTCCTCATTTAAACCATTTATCTTCGATGAAGAATGTCCAGGTGGCTAACGTCTAGCTCAGCCAACCCCCACACTGAGGTGGTTCGTTGTCTGAAAGGAAAACATGGGATATTGTTGCTCTTTTTTCTTTGTTGGAAAAATTTATGTATTCTTCTAGGATAAGGACTTTTGCTTATGGTGCCTGATATGAAAACTCTAGCCAATTGGATCTAAGAACCCTCATAAACTCTCATAGATATGAAACCCCTAGATCACACATGTTAAAACTCCAAAGGCAAGTTGATTTCATTCCAAATGATCGGAACTCTTAAGAATTCGATCTAACAATCTTATTGAAGAATATGACCTTTAGAACTAAAATGTCCAAGAACCTCAAAATGATAAGGAACTACCTCAAAGGAAAATAACATCCATATTACCTTGTTGATCAAATATCTCAATGCAAGAAAACTTCTTTGAGATTGGAATCACTCTAAAAGTAAGACGGATCATGTTAAGCTTGAATGATTCCAAGCATGCAACCTAAACTACATAAAGTTGCAAAGAAACTTAGCCCTTGGCTAAAAGAAAGCACAAATACTCTTTTACTACATTTTCCAAGTCCATTTTACAAAGACAATGTACATGGCTTTATATAGCCTCAAAATAAAACCTTTGACCATTCATGAAGCATTTCAAGAGCGGTAACCTTCATTGTTTAAGACCCTAATTAGTTACTATGTAAATGTAATCTTAAAGTAAATAAAAAATCTTAAAATACATTAATAAAACACAATAACTCTAAATTATCATCCACCTAAATTCTGTGAACATCTCAGAATAAATGAAACTTGATTTTCTTTAATGTGGCATTAATTGAAACTTAAGCTTATCTTGTGGTGATTTGAACAATATTTTTCACATCTTCCTTGAAGTTCATATTGCATGATTGAGATGACTTGGATCATATCAGTGTCCCAGCCCTTGGGATGGTTTTTCGTGTAAATCCATCTTTCTTTGTCTACTCAATTGCTCTCCCTTGTGTGACTTGGTGTTCGCCTCGATGTGGAGGACAAAAATCTCCAAGAAAGTCAAGTTTTTTGTTGGGAAAATTCTTCACGGAAAGGTTAATACTTAGGATAGGGTGTTGGGGGAAGATTGCTAATTTGATGGGGTCATGGTGCTGTATTATTTGCAAGAGAGCAACAAAGAACCTCGATCATATGCTTTGGAGTTGTGATTTTGATTATACCATGTGAACTTGCTTCTTTGATTTTGGTTTTGATCTGGCTAGACATGGCTACTAAGAGATGATAGAGGAATTCCTTCTTAATCCTCTCTTTAGGAAAACGGGAAAGTTTTTGTGGGGACATTCCGGTGAGAGGAAAAAGAGAGGGATGGAAAGTTTTTTATGGCAACCTTGATTATTGTGTTCTTTGAATTCTTTTTTTAAAAAAATTTATCCAAATCATCAGACATCACCAAAACCTTCCTTCTATTTAGTTTTTAGGTTTTTGTTGTTTGCTTAATGAAAAAAAAAAAAGAAAAAAAAAAGCAGTTTTTCCCCAATAAAGAATTTTTCCAGCAAGCTGATTGCATCATGAATTCATCTCATTTATTAAAAGAAATTTGGTTTCTCAAAAAAAATTGAAGTTCAAAATACATTCAATCTGAAATTGTACCTCTGTTCCCGGGCAGAATAAGGATATGAAAGAGGCAAATGGAGGGTCATTTCTGTTATATTCCAGGGTGCCATCAATTATACAAGAAATGATTGGAAGAATAATAGCATGCCCATGCTCGGGATGATGAAACACAAACACAGCTGGAAATAGACATATGAGATAGATTACTCATCAAGAGATGATAACATCATTAAAGATTGAAGTGTCATGAATTGAAGAGTTCATACCTAAAACATCATCGAAGAGGCGCTTTTCCTTTGATTGGAAACGGCTCCGAATCAGCTGTTCATTGAATAACTGAGTATGCATATATCAACTACTAAAGCCTTGTACTAAAAAAAAAATAAGAAAAAAGTTTCAAGGCTCTCAAATATCTTCTTTTTGCTAGCATACAAGTAAAACAATTCCCCTAATGAATCAAATGATAGAAATAATTTGAGTAATATCTCTTTCTAATTTGGGAACAATAGAATTTCTGCTCAATAACACATTGCATACCTCAGCAATGTCCTCTGAGAATCGTTCTGATGTAAACTGACCCAAGTACTCAACATATGCAGAACACTGAGCCTGTAAATAGAAAGAGCAAGTGCACTAAGAAACAAACAAATGTATCGTATCTCAAGCATCGACAATTTCAAACAATATTAAAAAATAGCTCAAGTAAGACCTCAAAGAAACTTCTCAGTTGAATTTGCGATTAGCCAAAACAGCTTGTGTTAACAATTATTTATTGGCTGGACAGCAGCACTTTACAAAGCCAGACCAACAAATCAGTAATTATCCTAAAATTTAGACTTCACCTTGCCATAGCAACATTTAACCAAGCCAAAAGTAATTATCAAAGAACAGCCAAGAAAAAAATACAAAGCACCAAGAAACCTCCCAAGAAATACAAGAAAGCACCCAACAAACATACTACATCAACAGCTCTTTCTTTTCGTTAATCAATTAAAGTTTTGTTTCAGGTTAATAAAAGAAAAGGTATTGTTAAATCACCAATCAACCCAAGAACTTAAGTTGATAGGTTATGATAAATTTAATTGAATCAATACTTCAATAGGTTTATTGAAGCAAATGTTGTATGTTCTTCATTCTCTTGTTTTAAACTTACATTTGCAATAAATTAGGTTATGGTTGTAATTCAACATGTACGCAAGTCCATTCTGAGGTAGTTGCTGCTAAAAATATGATAATCTCATTACACAATTAATTTTTGTTTGGGTCAGTAGAAAAGGCAGATGCGGATAATTGGTCACAAAAACATACATGGAGACAGTTTGAGGAAGCGTAACTAGTAGAGTGCGTGGACAGGAGATAACAGAATATTGTGGACAAGTTATTTAACGCAACTAGAAGGTGATAACAAGATAAATATGAAGCTAGTGTTTGACAAACTAAGGCAAAATCAGTTATATATCAAGAAAGAGAAATGTGCCTCCGCACAAACATGCATCACCTTCCTCGGGCACACCATCAGGTGTGGACAAATCAACATGGATAGCGATAAGATAAAAGCTATCAAGGATTGAAAAATCCCCACTTCGGTGTCCGATGTACAATCCTCTCTAGGATTAGCAAACTACTCTAGGCAATTCGTCAAAGGGTTTTCATGACGAGCCGCCCCATTAACAAAACTCCTGAAGAAAGATCACCTTGGTCATGGTCAAATGAATGTCAAAAGGCCTTCGAAGATCTGAGGGCAACCATGACGAGGGGCCCTGCCCTCGGCTTGGTAGACGTCTTTAAACCTTTTGAAATAGAGAGATGCATCCGACTTTGCTCTTGGGGGAGTCCTTATTCAGGAAGGCCACCTTATTGCCTATGAAAGTCAGAAGCTCAATGATGCAGAGAAGAGATATATTGTCTCCGAAAAGGAAATAAACGTCGTCGTCCATTGCCTTAGAGTCTAAAGAAAATATCTTTCAGGATCTCACTTCGTGGTGAAGATAGATAACAGTGTCATTTGTCACTTCTTTGACCAATCAAAGTTGACGGCAAAACAAGCTCGGTGGCAAGAATCATTAGCTGAGTTCGACTTTAGGTTTCGAACATAAACAGGAAAGAGTAATCAAGCAGTCAACGCGCTGAGTCGGAAGGGGGAACATGCGGCCCTATGCATATTAGCCCCATATTCATAAGGGAACACTTGTATAAAGACCCTTCGGCCAAAACTGTTGTTGATCTAGCCAAAGCCGAGAAGACTAGACAGTTTTGTGTCGAGGGAGACCTTCTACTGACAAAGGAAATATATTATATGTCCCAAGCACGGGAGAACTAAGGAAGAAGCTCATCTAGGAATGTCACGATACTTTATGGGTCGAACACCTACGGTGGCAACGAGCTTATGCCTTGGTCAAGAAATGGTACTTTTGGTCAAACATGCGTGATGACAGAATGCAGTATACAAAGACGTGCTAAGATAAAGTTGAGAAGGCCAAGGTCTCGAAACTCCTTGAATCCACAAGACATTGGGAAAGTGCCATTGGACTTCATAACACACCTCCCAAAAGTAGGCAAATAAGAATCCACCTTGATTATCATAGATAGGTTCTCGGAATACGCCAGGTTCGTTTCCACCCCCAAAATATGCTCGGATGAGTTAACAACCCAACTGTTCTTCAAACATATCGTGAAGTCGTGGAGTATTTCATCGAGCATCGTCAGTGACAGAAACAGTAGATTAATTGAAACATATTGGACCGAGTTATTCACATTCCTGAGGACGAATTTAAATGTCTCCTCCCAAAAGTAGGCAAATAAGAATCCACCTTGATTATCATAGATCGGTTCTCGGAATACGCCAGGTTCGTTTCCACCCCCAAAATATGCTCGAATGAGTTAACAACCCAACTGTTCTTCAAACATATCGTGAAGTCGTGGAGTATTTCATCGAGCATCATCAGTGACAGAAACGGTAGATTAATTGAAACATATTGGACCGAGTTATTCACATTCCTGAGGACGAATTTAAATGTCTCCTCGAGCTACCACCTCCAAACCGACGGACAGACATAGTGTTTCAACTGCTTGCTCGAAAAATACTTGCGTAACTTTGTCGACGCTCGTCAAAAAAATTGGGTACAACGGCTAGATATGACTCAATTCTGTCTCAATTGCCAAACGAGTTCGTCTACCAGCCCCTATGAAATTATAACTGGACGACAACCAGCCTTGCCCCATATTATTGATCGTTCATATGCAAGAAAGAACCCTTGAGCCCAAAACTTCACAAGAGAATGGAAGCAAACAACAGATAGAGCCCGAGGTTATCTGGAGAAAGCTTCCAAACACATGAAGAAGTGGGCGGACAGGAAGCATTGCCCCCTCCAATTTTAAGTAGGAGATCAAGTCCTTATCAAATTGAGGCTTGAACAAATCAGATTCCGCAATCGAAAGGACCAGAGACTTGTTAGAAAATACGAAGGATCGGTCGAGGTTCTCAAAAAATATTGGGGCTACATCTTACAGAGTAGCATTGCCCACATGGATGAAATTCACCCAATAATTCATGTGAGTAACCTTAAAGCCTTACCATCCCGATCCAAGTGACGACAATCAAAATGCCATCATCAGACTTGGTATTGGTCTGAAATAGGACACCAAGGAAGTAGAAGCAATTCTAGACGACAAAGTTAGGAAAGTAGGAAAACCTATACGGAGGATTCGAGAATTCCTAGTCAAATGGAAGAACCTCCCTACAGAAGAAACAAGATGAGAATGCGCCGAAGACCTAGCCTCTGCCGCAATCCACATCGCCGAGTTCGAAAATAGTCGGTTGACAGGGACATCAACCAATTAGGTGGGGGAGGATGTCACAGTCATGCTCGTTCAGAGCATATTTCCATGGCCACATGCCCATGCCACGCCGAACTCTTTATTTAATTTCATGTTGTATTGCCTTACTATAGTATTTTTTGTTTGTATGACTGTTCGATGAAATCATATCTACGCCTGCCAGACCTGAATCGCCTCAAAATGTGCTACAGGGGGATGCGACAAGCCATGAATTCTTCTTACCCAGATTTATATGTTATCTAAGTCATTGTGTTACCTTTCTCCCTTATAGCCTATAACATTGTTTTCAAAACCTTCTTTTAATCTTGCTTTCAAACTCTCTTTCGATAAATCTCTCCACCCCGTTTTCTAAAACCTTCTTCTCAAAACCGGTTAGAGGCTTGAGCATACGTTACCCAACCGTAGGCAACATGAATTTGAATTGACTTGACTCACTCGATGTTGGGAGTGAGTGCCACACAATCATAAAGTCTGCTGCCAAGAAAAGTGTGATTGTGACACAAGGCTTGCAACTATCCCGTTCAAAAGGAGTTTGTAGCCATTTTATCCATCTCATCAGTGACCCCTTTAAGAGCTTTGAAAATCGAAAATTAGTATACTTGAAGTCTATTAATCACCCCAATTGGACAAGAGTCAAACGACCACCTTCTGAAAGAATTAACTTCTCCACTTGTCCAAACGATTAGCAAATTTTTCAGTTATCTACCCCCACTGTACCACGACAATGCCTTGTCATCAAAACTTACCACGCCAATAATGAGTTTTCCAGCTTCCATAAACGGTTGAATCTTAAAAACCACTCAATCGTAAATAGTTTGAAGTCAAGCTCCTCTCCAACGAACAAGGATTTCACAACCTAAATTTGTTGCACTACTCTACCCTACATCTTTCGTTCGTTGGGACGATTCTCCTTCCTCAAGAATCTTAAAGACCATCAACGCATTGCTCTCCTCTTCCAACATGAGAGCCACCACTATCCATAGCTCTCCTCCTCCAATTATCTACTCCCATGGATTTCAGCCGTTAATTGCTCGAGACTCTAAATTACTCTAAATTATAATCCACCCAAAATATATAACAATGAAGCTTCATTCTTCTTCAATATGGCATGAATTGAAATATCTTTTGATAATTTCAACAACATTCCTTCACATCTTCATTGAAGTATATTGTATGATTGATGTCTCTTGGTTCATTTCACCTTTCATCACGACAATCTCTTTTGAAACCTTCCCTTCTCTCTTCTAAATATTTTTTTTACCATTTTTCTTAATCTACCATGGTTGGATGTGCTTTGATATCGCTTTGTGGGGTTTCCACCTCACAATTAACCAACAAAACTCAACAAGCAAACGCTACAAAATCAAAAGTCACAGATTATCCCCCATTGGGAGTTCCAAAACAGCACAAAAACACACCAGAACAAACAAAAGACCACAAACAACCAACTAATTTCAGAGAGCTGGGAACCTCTCCTACCAAGCCGTTCAGCCTCAAAATTCGACAATTCCTCTACCTCCTTTCTCTCCCCTATGAAAGTAGACAAACTTCCTTTTCCATACACGCACAATCTCCCTTGCCCCACCAATTGTTAGCAGCGAGATCCCCTTTTACCCCTCTTAGAGGAAGTTTGCACAATTGGAGGCCTCACACATAACCATCAACAAGCAAGATTTGGCTCCCATTGGGTACAAAAGCATGTTAAATCTATTTTAAAAAGGACTAAACTTTTCTCAATCAGCCCGTCTTTAATCATTAAATAATATAATTAGATCTAACTTTCATAACAAAGTTATTTACAAGGAAACACAACAGTTAGGCAGTTAGAAGTTATAGGTCAACACCCTTACATTTTCCATCTCAATTAGGATTTTGTTACCCATTAGGGTTTGTGAGCTTTGGAATATTTTGGGACCTTTGTTTTTCACCTTAGGTTTTGTGAGCTTAATGACCCATCTGCACCTAAACCCGCCACCAATGTCAAATGTCCACGCCGCTCAAAGTCACCACCCTCCATTTCATGTGCTGGCACTTGAGAGCGCATGGACTATCAAACCAGTGTTTTGCCGCTTGGGTTTATCTCAGTTTTTGTTTTTCAGCATATTTGTATTTAAATATGACAAAACATACTCGGTTATGAGGATATTTGGGCAAGTACCTGCAATTGTCTCGATTCAAATTCGTTTTTTGCGTTTCAGTTCTACTTTCATAATTTTTTTACGATTGAGCCCTTTTTTAGTCTCTCCGATTAGAGTGATTTGTTGGTTCTTTCTATTTTCGACTGTTTGAGTGAGTATCTTGGCCAATGATCTACTGGGGTTTGAAATTGTTTTTGTAAAAGAAGCAGATTTATTGAACACTCCATTCTTGTTAGATTTTCAGAAATCGTGTGGCCGTCTAAATTCGTTATTTTGATTACATTGTGCTTCTATATTCATCATTGATCTATAGTTGAACAGAAAATCACAATAATATCTAATATGGTTTAATTGAGGACTCCATCCATCCATGGTTCATCTAAGAAGCCATTTGCTAATTCTTTAGAGGTTGATAAATTCCAAGAATACCAGACCCTTTTCCAGCTATTCAACAAAAAATCTGTTCTTCAAGGTAAGATTCACTATCATGTTCTCTTCCCAACAAACCCTTCGCCAGCTATTGAACAAAAAAAATCTTTGGTTGTACTTGTTTTGTTAGAGATGTTTGTCATGATCTAAAAAAAATTAGACCCCAAATCTTTGAAGTGTATTTTCTAAGGCAATTGTCATGTTCAAGAAGGATACAAATTTAATTGCCCTAGTTTGAACTGGTATCTCATATCTCATATCTCGTGATGCTACTTTCTTTGAGAACAAACCACTCATCCATCTTTGTCTAATACAAGTTAGGAGGAAGATGATGATCCTTGTTACTTATACACTTGTGTCTCCCACACCCTCCTTAGATCTATCCCTTTAGAAATATGACCCTACCCATCCACCTATTACTCAAGCCTATTCTAGACAGCAACAACCTACATGTGAATGTTCTGTCCCAAAATATTCTATCACATTAGATCCAAGACCAAGTGATGAACTTCCTATTTCTCTTTGTAAGGCTATGCTCATACGTATGGGATTGATTATTTTGAAACATTTTCTCATGTAGCAAAGCCAACTTCTGTCAGGTTATTCATTTCTATTGCAACTTCTAAAGGTTGGCCTTTCCATCAATTGACATTAAAAATGCATTTCTTCATGGTGATCTTTAGGAGAAAGTATATATGAAGCAACCACCTAGGTTTGTTGCTTAGGATGAGAGTGATTTAGTTTGTTGCTTTTGCAAATTTTTGTATGGGTTGAAATAGAGTCCACGAGCATGGTTTGAAAAATCCAATCAAACACTTGATTAGTTTTGAATGGAAAAAAGCAAATTGAATCACTCTGCCTTCTACTGACGATATGTGAATAGTATTATTTTTCTTGTTGTCAAAAAAGCAAACTGAATCACTCTGCCTTCTACTGACGATCTATGAATGGTGTTATTCTACTTGTTGTATATGTTGATGATAGTATCATTATTGGAAGTGATACGAAGGTATATTATATCCCAAATCTTCCTCCAAAGTCAGTTTCATATTAAAGACTTGGGAATGTTGAAGTACTTCTTGGGAATTGAAGTACTGAGAAGCAAGAAGGGTATCTTTTTGTAACAGAGAAAATATGTGCTTGATTTGTAATATGAGACAGGAAAATTTGGAGCCAAGCCATGCAATACTCTGTTGATGCCTGGTCTAGAACTTACAAAAGATAGAGAACCATTAAAAGATCCTGAAAGATATAGAAGATTAGTTGGAAAGTTGAATTATCTTATAATTACATGGCTAGACATATCTAGCTTAGTAAGCATTGGTAGTCAATTTATGACTTCACCCATAGTGAATGATTGGGTTGTAGTATCATGATCAAGTGCTAAATCAAAGAATAGAGCTATAGTACAATCAGTATAATGTGGGTATATCAACTTTTGAATGAGTTAGGCCTTAATATTACAGTCTCAACCAAGTTGTTGTGACAACCAAGATGCCCTTTCTATTGCATTCAACTCAATATTTCATAAGTGAACTAAACATATTGAAATTGATTCTCATTTTGTTCATGAGAAAATACAAGGTTTGGTGTCTAGTGGATATGTCAAGATCAGAGAGCAATTAAGAGACATTTTCACGAATGCTTTAAATGGAGTTCAAAAAGATTACCTTTGTAAAAAATTTGAGCATGATTAGCATATATGCTCTAGCCTGAGATGGAGTGTTATAGTGTACATAGTTTAAATGGAGTTTATTAGTTTTTGTCTTTTATTGTAATTTACTATTCCTAGTTTAGGCTTTATGTACATCGAACTCTAATTTATAGAATGAGTAAGGAGTGGTATCAGTAGAGGATGTTTGCCCGATAGAAGCCCTCACAAATAACCATCAACAAACAATTGATTCCTATTGGGTACTAACTTAGGTTAAATCTATTGTCAAAGGATTAGCCTTTAAGTTAGGAGATATTTGGAGAATCTGATTAGAACCAAAATCTTAACTCAATCGGCTGCGGGTCATCTCAAGTTCAGTTCGGAGCCTTCCTAACTGTCGTCAAGTTCAATCGGAGCCTCCATTCACCGTGACCAATTTTCATTTGGATTGTGAAAAATAAAAATAAAAGAGGAGCAGCCTCAGATTTGTATATTCTGACAACAAACTACCTCATATCTACCAGCATATACAAAGCCATCACCGCAATAATATTTAGCCTTCCATCACTGCAATAGTTCCTCAAGCATTTATATGTCTTTTTTTTTTTCCACTTCATCAATAGCCCAGCCGCAATATCCAATAGCCACTACTTTCAAACCCTGCTTTCAAATCCAATAGCCCAAACGCAATATCCAATAGCCACCTCTGCTTTAAAATCCTCTATTTTGAAATCCTAAGTCACTCACCTCTGCTTTCAAATCCTAAGCCACTCACCTCTGTTTTTTCAAATCCTATTGTCTTGAAATCTTAACCCACTGTGGCTTTTCGCTTCAGTTTCCAAACCCACTATTTTTCAAATCCTAAGCCCAATATTAAACTTAAACTCTTCAAAAGTCCATGGTCACTGTTCCATCCTAAGCCCTTTTCCATCCCTTCAACCATCGCCATTCCACAAGCCCGCCGCTTTCGAGCACAAAAGGATGTTTGTGTAGGTGACTTGGATAACTCGTGTTTCAGACTAACTCTTGTTTCAATCATCATCACAAGTCATCAAAGTCCGAGATTCAAAATTGAAGTATTCAATAATGGAGGGAGTCAAGGGCGTCGAAGGAAGAAAATGAGGTGACAAAACTAAGATCTCCAAAGCTGGACTCCAATACCTGGACGGAAGAAATCATTATGTTGTAAAAGAATTGATTAATCTAGGTTTTCCATTCAATCCGTCAAAATCTCTTGGACACTGATATGTTGAGTGATCATTTTATGAAATTGGAAGAATGTGTTGAACCTCTAACTATAGCCATAAAGAAAATCTTTAAAGAAGCAAGAACGGAAGGCAGAATGAAAGGCTCAATAAATCCAAGATCAGTTTTTGGCTGCATCTCTTCCAAAGCTCCTCAGTTCAAAAGATATGAGCAACATGACAGTCATGAATTGCTTCGTGCCCTGCTTGATGAATTGTCCATTGAAGAGCTGACTTCAAGGAAGATGACGAAGTCTAAGGATGAGAGAATGTCTGGAAATCCCACTCCATTTGTTGATGAGATGTTTGGGGGGGAAATATCAAGTGCTGTATGTTACAAAAGAATGTGGCCACACAACGATGGTTTATGAACCATTTCTTGATCTTTCTCTTCCGGTTCCAGTGAAGAAACCTCTGGCCAAAAAGGTCCAACCAGTCTCTCAGGCAAAGAAGATAAAAGTGCCACCTAAGAGTAGTGGAAAGACGATTCCTAAAACTGACAAGACATCAGATGTTGTACCAGTTCAATTTGCCTCTTCCATCATCTAATAATGAGCTTTCCCTTGCATCAGAGGCCATCACCAGTAGCACAACTACCATTATGGAGAAGACTTTAAGTTCTCTGAATGTCTCATATGTTAAAGAGCCTGAAAAAGAAGTTTTGATTGAGAAGGGAGGAAAATGTGCTTCAGTTAATTTGACGTTCCTTGGACCAGAACTGACAGCCAAAAATGGTGATATTTCCCTACTCAGGATTCTAAAAATAATGAATCCTGGCCTAGCATATTCTTCAGGTTGTAATAACACCAGCAATCAAGATAAATCCATGTGTTATCTTTCCAACGATGATCCTGAAAGCAGTGAACTTGCAAAAACTAATATTGAGCCCTTGAGTTCACAAATATCTGCCGAGAACCGATCAGAGAGGTGAGGATTGTGAGATGAATTCTGATTCAACAATTGTGAATGTGAAAAGAGATGCAACAAAGAGGTTTCTCATTCACAGGGCCCCTCCTATCTTGACAATTCATATAAAGAGGTTCAGTCCTAATGTTCGGGTCATTATAGTAAATTGGATGGCCACATCAGATTCAAGGAAACAATTGATCTTAAACCATACATGATACTAGGTGTGCAGATAGGGACAAGTGTAATTATCGGTTCATCAGAGTCATGGAGCAATCTGGATCTATGAGAGGAGGCTATTATGTTGCATCCAAGGGAGGCGAGGAACGCCACTTCCTAGGAGTGAGCACAAGAGTGGTGAGAAACACCCATGAAAGATCTCCAAGAGGAGTGAGCATGAGAGAGGCGAGCAATGCTCGTGGAAGTGCTCCCAGAGGAGTGAGCACGAGAGAGGCAAGCACGAACCATGTTTATATGTGATTGCATTTTCTGACACCAACAACGGGGTCACTTATTGAGTACTTTTAAATACTCAAACCATGTTTAACATTTTTCCAGGTAAAGGTAAATACCCCACGTACAGATGATGGCGTCAGCCGAGGAAGCCATGAATCAAGTCCCGACAGATTTCCACATTAAGTTATAGTCATTATGTTAGGATAAGTCGATGAACATTTGTTTCTAATTTGTGATAAGAGATGTTTTTTTTACTTTTTTAACTATGTTATTTTATTATTAAATTTGAAATATTTATAAACATTGAAGTCCACAACAATGTTTAAAGCGAATTATTGAAACAGATTTTTTTACATACAGTAGTCATGACATGCATGTAGTAGTGGCCTTATTTAAAAAAAAAAAAAAAAAAAAAATAGAGTCAATACACAAACTCTCACAAAATTCCACACCTTCACATTTGCATCATACCTAAATATCTGTACACTTGCGTCGTACCCAAACTTTTACCATTGAGAGACTAATAGCATCAACTTCATAACAAAAGACCACCTTATAAAGTATTTCATTTGTTCTTATTGCCACCATTTCCTTTATGAAAAATACTATCTGCACCTGTAAGGTCTATCTAGTACACGTGAATAGTAAGAAGGTGGCCCCTGTACCAATCTACTCTTTAAATAAATGTAACCATTTCCAGCAAAGAAGATAATAAGCTGTTAGAAGCATGTGCAGACACTCATAAAGGAAAATTAATCATAATTAAGTCCCTCATATTGAAATTCTGAGATTAGCACACATTGTCGAAATTTCCTTATATTGAAATTCCAGCAGAAGTTCCCACATATTTATTCCTTTAGTATGCCATAGTTAGTTTTGACAGTAGCTAACTAAAAGCAGATGAATTGCTTGCTTCTCTTCTTCTTTCATTTTTTTTTTTTTTTTTTTTTCCCCGAAAGGGAGAAGAACCTCTAAAGCTAATGGAAAATCCGCTACAATTAGAAAAGCAGATAGAGTGTCAGTTCACTGTTCCACGCCCATTTGGCAACTTTGAACCATATTCTAATTCTATGAGCTATTCGAGTAAATGTCCACATAATAAGGAATTAAAAAAATTAAAACGCATCAGAAAACATTATCGTGCCTAGAAAACCATAACAAGGAAAAGATCAAGGAAAACAATGGAACATTATTCAAGAACAAGGACCCAGCAACTTCATGAAGAATGATAAATATAACTTCGGGCTTACTAATCAACTTGAACTATACTAGAAAACAATGTCATATAATGAGAGAAAGTACCATCCCAAAAATCGATCATATCTGAAACATAAAAGCCTCAGTACCTTTCTTTGCTGATCATCATCTGGGGGAGGCCAAAACAAGGAGGACAATTGAAGTCTATCGATCCATCTCTCACTCGACGTTGCCATATATTTTCAATAAATTTTCCCTTAAAGCTACCTCTTCAATTGCCAACAAATCAACTAGGCAATTGCACAAACTCCATCTTCATTTGCTACCAATCAAGAATCCAAATGTCGTAATTCAGCATCCCAAAACCACAACCAATTTCGATTAGCCACGAATTCTAAAAAAAGGCTTGAAGAAATGTATTCAATATCCAAAATCTAGCCGCAGGTCCCCTTAAGAAATTCACCAAAACCCAACCCCTTGTACCGCTATAGATTTTTCAAGTTCCAGTTCCTGAGAAGCTCCCAAGTTCACAACTCCATACTTACAATTGCCATAACAACAATAAAACCAATCCTCTGCAAGATGAAATAAAAAGAAAAAATAATAATAACGTAAATCAATAAACCATAAACAACAAAATGAAGTCAAAATTAAACCAAAAACGAACAAATCATACAAAATCACAAACAACAAAACTCAAATCAGAAACAAGAAGGTAAACAACAGCTTTCAAAACGAATACAACAAATCAAATTAAAAAAAAAAAAAAAAAACAACCAGATGATCCAAGCTTCAATTCAGATTTCGCAACTTCTTTTCTAAATGTCACCGATTCACATCAAAAAAACGGTAAAAGAAAACGAAGTACCTGAAAATCGATTCCGCTTCAGCCAAGAAATTCCACAAACTGTAACTCTCTCCCTCTCTCTCTCTCTCTCTCTCTCTCTCTCTCTCTCTCTCTCTCTCTCTCTAGAAGGTATATTCCTTTGTTTTTATGCCAAGTAATTTTCAGTGTAGAGAGAGAGAGGGGAATCTTTTCAAGGGCCGTCAGTTTAGAGAGAGAAAGATATGAGATCTTTAGAAGCGCTGTGAGAGCTCAACATTACTGCATACGTGGCATGTATGTGAAAGTACCAAAGTACCCTCGCCTGGTGCGAATATTATAATTATAAAACAAAGCTGAGTGCGTAAAAAATAATTATAGTTCGAAGGCAAAGACAAACCGACCATGATGAGATATTTTCCTTGGAGCTATGCTATGGTGCAACGCGGCTGTAGTGTTCATCTCGCTTCTTGGCCGTTGATTTTCGTATTGGAATGATCCGATGGATGAGAATTTTGTTTTCGTGTGCTGCTGGTTCTCTCTCCAATTTTGATTGGTTGGAATATATATAATGCAAAATGTGTTTTTCTAATTAAATAATCTTCCAAGTTTAGTGGGTTGAATGTGTATTTTTCTAAATAATTTTTTTTTCTTTTTTAATTTATTTATGATATACGCTTAAATCAATTGAATAATTACCAAAAAATAGTTACCGTCCAATGAGAAACCACAGTTTGGATGAACTTGTATTGATTTCGTATAATTTCTCATTTTTTATCTTTATGATCCTAGATGCTGCACTCGAGAGTTGGAGCTAAAAACATCCACGAAGCAAGGGACGGAGAATTCATTCTCTGTTTTTGCAAAATTATCTATTTATTTTCTCGTTTATTATTCTTTTAAAAAATAGTTATTTGAAATAAACTTTTTATTTTATAATTTTTAATTTTCAATATAAACTATTAATTCAACTTAATTCACTCACATGGTTAGAAATTAAAATTTAGGGTTAAAGATGGTTGGTTGATAAAGTCATTTCACCTACCCGAATAAAAAAATATAAAATAAAATTTATGTCTAAATTTTTTTTTTTTTTTTAAATTGTCTTAATGTCTTTGATAAGAGATGTTTGGTCTACAAAAGTTTGGATCTAATTTTTAGAGGTATATAATGAACTCGATAATTTGACAACTCGAGCCGACTCAACTCAAATTATAAGAATTTGGTTGGGTTAGATAGGTTACTGAGTTGGGTTGAGTTTAGCTTTCTAGGAACTAAGTAGGTTGGGTTAGGTCTGGGTTCAACATACGTAAAACCGATTTGACCCAACTTGAATCGATATATATATACACAATTAGGGTTGTTTTGTTGTTTACTACCATGCCCCCCTTCGCGGAATCACAAGCATTCTCTTTCTCTTTTATCTTCTGTTTCCAAGACATACATGCTCACTTACAACAGCAGTCAACTCGACAACTTAACCTCGACCCAATCCAAAAAGGTCATGACCTACTCCTCACTTTTAAGAGTAAAGATCAACCACATAGACCAACACAAGTTCTTTCGAAATCGTTTGTTCTCACTCACATGCATCCCAGAAAAAATCCTAGGAGAATACACACGTAGAATTGCTCCAAGTAAAACACATTTAATCATGTAGTTCTTATAATTGAGCCACCGAAAAAGAAGGTGCACCTTGTCTGTATAGGTAGTAACTTTCATTTCCTTTAAGTCTTTCTTAGTCATCCTATTCTTAGGATCGCTCTCATTCGAATGTGATTTCGGTTCATTTATGTACTCCTCTGTTACTCGAGTGTCACATGCTCATCAACTTTCGCCTTGGTTCATCCCTGAACCATATCTTTTTGGGAGAGGTATCGCTTTGATACTATTTATAATGATCCATGCCTAGGATTCAGAATCAAAATTCGATAGCTGATGGTCACGTTACCTACTCCTTACTTTTTAAGAGTGAAGATTATCCTCACAGATCAGCACGAGTTTTTTAACATGCATTGTTCTCACTCACAAGCATCCCAAGAAAATTCCTAGGAGCTTACCCAGCACAAAACTACTTCAAATAAAACACGTTTAACCATAGAGTTCCTATGATTGAGCTACCGAAAAGAAAGGTGCCCCTTGTTAGTATAGCTAGTAACTTTCAATTCTTATACGTCTTTTATCATCATATCCTCAGGATCGCACTCATTTGAATATGGTTGGGTTGGGATGGGTTGTGACACAATTTCGAGTTGCACTGAGTTACCAATCCAACCAACTCGAACTTTAGGGTTGGTCCAAAAAAATTCCTCAACCCAACCAAGTACACCTCTACTAACCCTTCGAGTTTGGGCTTTGGGTCAAATTATTCAGCTTTTTCGTTTATTTGATCTTCAACCTAATTGCTATATGATCCAATTTGACCGAAATGTCACGATTAAGACACGTAAATCATTTTAGATTGGTCCTTACTCATTTTCGTCTTTAAAAGTAATTTGAAATTGGTTACAAATTTAATAGCATGAATTTATTATTAATTTGAAATATAATTATGTGTCGATTTGTGATTGGCCAAAATTTTTTATTCAACCATCACTTTGATGTTTACTTCTTGTTATTTTATCTTCGTAATCAACCTAGTAGTACTCTACACATAATTTAAATTTTCTTATTTTTTTTATTAAAATAAATTATACGAAGCTCGGGTGAAATTAAGTGGAGGTCCAAACCGTCTGAAAATAACATAGTCAACTTTTTCGTTTTTACTTATTTATCTCTCTAAATTAATATAAATCAAATATCATTTGAAGATTAAGAAGAGCTCGGATGTAACTTTTTAACACTCATTTCATTGATATGTCGTAGATATTGTCTGCTTTGACTCGTTACGTATCGTTGCCAGCTCATGGTTTTAAAACGTGTCTGTTAGGGAGAGGTTTTCACACTTTATAAATAATGTTTCATTCTCCTCTCCAACTGATGTGGGATCTCACAATGTGTTACCTTTTCATCTTACTGAAAATTACCAAAATATATATATTATTGTCAACTTCTCTCTATCTGATAGTTATATGCAGTAAGCCGTTGTTGTTGTCTTTTGCTTTCATTCCCATCTAACACCAATTTCAATTTTTCAACTATTGCTTTCAAAACTCTCTTTAGAAATCTCTCTGCCCCGTTTTCTAAAACTTTCTTCTTGAATCGGAGCAAGAGGCTCGAGCATACGTCGCTTGGTCGTAGGCGACGCAAGATCGAATAAGCTTAACTCACTTGCTACTGAGAATTGAGTGTTGCACAATCGCAAGTCCACTACCATCAAAGTGCGATTATAACAAGTGGTACCCTTTCTCTTTGGTGTGTATATATATATATATATATATATATATATATATATATTGCGTGCGTGTCAAATTCTGACTTGCTCTATTTAAGAAACATCGTCTATTGTTGGCTTGAGTAGTTGACATTACTATTTCAAAGCATCATGAAATGACCAAAATGCCCCTTTCTCTTTGATTAGAAAGAAATAAGAACAATTATTAGGGATGAAAAAAATATTAAATGTATATTTAAAAGTAAGAAATTATAAGTGAAAAAAATATCCAATTATTAGGTTGGATTGAGTTTTTTTNGATTTTTTTCGGTTTGGGTTCGGTTGAAATTTTAGAAAATGGAAAATTTGGATTGGTTCATGGGTAGACATTTCTTTGTCGAGTGAACTGGACCAACAAAAATAAAAATAGAGTTAGAATTTAGTCAAACATCTACCCTATTTTTAAGATTATTATGAAAATGAAGAATATTTAACATTTGTAACCAGTTTCATAGCTTTAGTTTAACCTCAAATAGACATAAATGCAACTACCCTAATACTTGCAACTACCCTAATACTGGTTTCATGGCGAAGTTGTTATGGGTATAGAGGTGACTTACCTTTACTTAAAAAAAATAAGAGTAGTACGTGACTTGAGTATTTTAAGAAATACTTTGTAAGTAACCCTACTGTTGGGGCCGAGAAATGCAAACATATGTGATATGGTGAGACCTATCATTTTAAAAACGATATGGCATGGCTTAGGTAGCTTTTCCATCCGAGCATGGTTGGATGTGTAGTACTTCTTTACACATGGCCCACCAAGCAGGCTTGCGCAGGTTGGCTTATGTGTTACATGATTTTTTTGGGGCATGGACCTTATAGACATCCGATTGCTATACACAGTACCAAGTCTGCCCAAACCAAATCCGAATATGACTTAACCCACGAGTTTCTTCTTCTTAACCCGTCTTTCTAGCTTTTCCCGATTCTCTCTTGCTCTCTTTTCTTTGTTCGCTTTGTGTTCTCCAACAATGACCAAGTGCACCCTCCTCGCTCACTGCTTGCTCCAATGATCCTTCTCTTACGATTATGACGACACATAACCTACATACGATGGTAATTGTGAGAAAAGAAAAGAACCCAACATCCATCCCTTAAGTTCAAAACCAAACAACCTAAGAGAACAAGTGCTTATCGATCGTCTACACGTCATTGTCGATTGTCTCCACCATTGTGAATTCCCTCTTGGTTAGTAACGTCAATCATGCTGAGGTGCTCGAGAAGATAGATATGTTGGCTTGGATGGATGTCGAGCACTCTCTCTCTCGAACAGTGAAGACCTCGATTTTGAATGGGGGAAAAGGTGGTCGCTGATAAATGGGTGGTCCAAGCAATTCATCGAAAATCTCGCGAGGTTTTCGAGTACTTTTTCTTTGTAATAACTGCGGTTAAAGACTCTCTAATAAACCTTTAAATTATTTATTTATTTAATTAATAACTACTGTTATTCACGTTAGTTATTCAAATTTTTGTATTTAATAAAAGTAAAATGGTAGATCGTAAACCATTTATTTATTTATTTATTTTTAAATATTAAATTAAGATTTACATTCAATTTAAATATATATCTTAAAAAATGAAAATTATTTTTAAGAATTATTAAAAAAATAATTATTATGTTTTTTTTATATATATATATTGATGGGAAAGGAATATATATGTATATATGCGTGCGCGTGTGAAGGGTAAAAAGGTAAATGAGCTTGATTGAAATGAGAACTTTCTAGAATGATAGGAACATTGACAAAAAAAGACAAAAAGGCTAAAACGGTGACGTATTGGTCGGTTCCCTAGTTTCGGTTAAAATAATGAAAGAATGGCATCTCAAGGAAGTCAAATTGTTTTTTGGTCGGCAA